TCTTTAGAAATGTGATAATAGTCCCTTTTCCCTTGTAGTTAATTATAAATTTCAGGAAGAATTAGGTCTGTAAAATGTCTTCTTCCCTTCTTCCCCCTCCCTTGGTCTCTATGGCAGCAGCAGGAATGGAAGGGAATTACTTTGATCTCAATTTCTGGGTGACACTTCATTTCTTCTGAGCACTGATCTTGTTTAGTGCAACTGAAATTTTCAATAGATTTCATTAGATTATGATTTGGTGATTTTAGAGAGATGTCTTTATTGAGACTGGTTATGAGCTATTAAAGGAGAAGGGTGATATTTTTTCATAAATCTATGAAGAGCTATATAAACTGAGGGCAGAAAATGTTCAATTAGTGGATATGGCTGGGGCTCAATACTGCACAGCAGTGGAGAGCTGCAGAGGTGAGGCAAGGTGGAAGAAGACACTGAGCAAGAAAACGGAAACAAGAGAGCTTGCTGCTGCCTCAATAATAGTGCTGCTTAATGGTAGCAGAGTTATATACATCCTTAGCAGGTCCTTTTTCTGATATTTGGAGGACCTGGATGAAGGTGGGAAGATAACTTCCCAGTGCTAAGGTGAGGTGCATTTTTATGCATTTCGCATAGCTGGAAAAGCAGAAAAGATCTGTCTTGTGGCTCTTGTTCTCAACATAAACATGTGTTTCTTTTCTGTGTTAATCTGTTTGATACTGCTGTGCAAATTCGTTTCTGTGTCCATTCACCTGATGCAAGACTTCTGGAAAATGAGAAGATAATGTGCAGTCAAGGATAACGGAATCGTTATTTATGAGTGAATCATTAGGCCAGGGGTATGGCCTGGTATGTTGCTATGTTTTGCTCAATCTGAGACCTCTAGTTGAGATCTACAATTTTCATATCTCCAAAGCATCAGAGAAGATAATTTGGAAGGACGTGTAGGAGTAGCTGAGAATGTTCCACTGGGATTGACTTCAGACAATGCTTTTGTTACTAGAGACCTCACTCAAGGACTTGAACACAATTTCTTTTATTTGTATTCCTAGTCATTTCAGTGGATACTGAAATGGAATATGACTTGTGACTTTTGACTTTCATCAGCAATATCTTCTCTGAGAGAGAATATTAAGTCAGATCTTAGAGAGTCCTGATGTTCAATGAGCCCTGAACCTTTATATTCCTAAATATCCTCTCTGGATTTTTTTCCATCTTCCTGTAGAGCTAAGATCTGCCTCTGAATGTGTCTCCAGACAGAATCATGTTAATATTTGGCCATCCAAATTTGGTATTGGTATTGGTATTTTGTGTATATAAAAATCTCTCCCTGCCTATGAGAAAATGGCAATAAGATATACCTACTTGCTCCTGAAGTCACTCAACACAAAAAAGGAGTTTTTCCTTGAAATCTTACCCGTAGCTTGCTGAGGTGCAGTTGCATCTCTGTTTCCTGAAACCTCTCTTATGCAGTGCTACAAAGCTCTCACCTTCCATATGCAAAGCTCTCACCTTCAATATTCAGTGTGCAGTTATTTCCCTCTGCAATATTGCTGTGGGCAGTGATGCGCTACCACTCTGTATTGTGTTAATGCATTTCCAAATGCATTATACTGATGTTCCTAAATAGTGCTGGTAGCAGTCATTTATTTTAACACCTGACTGAGAAAAGCATGTAAGAAAAAAAGCTTGCTTAAGGGTTGCTTGCTAGGAAGGCAGGTGTTGTGCATGGACTCTGAAGGGCTTGCAGCCTTGTTTTTTTTTTTATCCTGAGATTGGTGCCTTTCTGTCTGCTGGTTACCCCTGGGGTCTGCATTTCTGAAAGTTTGATAAACCTATAGGTTTTGGGAATTACCTGTGTCAGGGCCTCCAGAGAAGAAACTACACTTCTCTAGCTGAATGTGGTGGTAGCATCTCTGACTTTGGTCATTGTTTCATTGCTTCCTGAATGTATCGTTGCTGTGCAATTTATCAAGCGTTTGAAGTGTCAATCCAGAAAAAAACCTGTGAATGATGCTGAATTCAGCAATGAGAATTAAATTATTCTTTTGTGTCCCAAAGTCTCTTTATACAAAAATTACACAAGCTGAAGATCTTATTGTGTATTTTTAAGGCTTTGATTTCAGTAAGCTGTGATAAAGTTCTTGCCTGGATGGCTGTGTCTGTCACTGTGCTGGAGCTGTCTCAAGGGTGAAGCCTAGTGCAGGAGGCTGAGTATCCTCAAAGAAAGGGAGTGGAGCAAGACTCTGGAAATCACTCATTTATGAGCTATGGAGAATCAGCCCCTTCTCTTTCCATTAAAGATAGGGAAAACTTTTATTGGAATGTATTCTTCCAAACAGCAGGGCAAGGTATATTTGCATATGACTATTGGCAAACATGAAAAACAAACTTGAGGTGCTTCTTCCTCCCTTGAAGGCTGTTTGAAGAAAGAAGGTTTTATACTATGGATTCTCATAACTTTTGAGATTTTTACCTTTTCAGTGTAGTGGTGGGCAAAGGTCTGTATTTTATTTTTGCTTACGTAACTCCTAAGCTGAGGAAAATGTTAGCAGCAATAATCAAATTGAATTAATTCCTTCTACAGCCTGTAAATATTTGCCAATGTATTTATTTCTATGCTTACTTGTATTGCCTATGCCTGCAGAATACTTTAGGCAGTGTTGACTTTTTGGCTATTTTTTAAAATTGGTTTCTCTACATGTGACATATTGGTGCTTTTGGCTATTAAAAAAGCCCTGAGCGTTTAGGATGAGAAGTGTTACTAGCAGCTGATATATAACCTTATATTGAAGACTTGTTTCAATTAAGTGAGTTTCTAAGGTATGAGAGGTGTGACAAGCATTGTTTTTTACACAAGACGGAAAGAAGTGATCGTTCAGACAAGAATGAGCTGTGATTTAAAAAAATAATCCGACTTCAAATCTCCAAAAAGCTGTAGAAGAAAGGTGTTCAGTCCTTGCCCTTGAACTACATGCATTTCTCAGACAGCACCAGCGCAATGTCATGTTACCAGCACAGTAATTCAAATATCCAGCTGTGAAAGGCCAAGCGCTGCAGGTCACTCTACATCTCAGAGGAACAACCAGCACAACTCTTGCCCTGAAAAATTGGGAACTCTGTAGAACTGCTGCCTCTGAACAATTCCCAGTTACTGCCGTCTCTGACTTTTGAATATGCACAAGTGCCAGGGGATTCTAGGTGTTGGGATAATTTAGGTATGAATCTCAAAGACAAGAGTACTTGAAGAGAATAAGCCCCTCCTGCTATGAGATTTGGAGCTTATATTTTGCAGAAGTTTCCTCTTAAAAATGTGAGGAATCTTTCTGAGGAGTCTCCTGACAAAGTTATACATAGTTTCCTCTGTAAGATCAGGCTTTTAGATGAGAAAAATGTTTTCAGTCCAAAGCACATTATTAATTTCTTTGCCTTTAACTTGCCTTGGAACAAAGAATGAAAGTGTACAATTGTTAAAGTAAAACATAATTACTACTGTTTCATGACATCTTTTTAATCAGAATTCGATTATTTTTTTATTATTTTGATAGGATTACACTGTTTGCTATTGCATTCATCCCTTCTTTACAGGAGATAACATACCTGCAGGATTCTGATGCCATAGTAGTAGATAGCAGTGACTTTTTCAAATCCTTTTAAACAGGACTTTCTAAACTTTCATCTAAAAATACAATAAATCTCTTGCTTGCTAGCTGTTTTTTGGAATATTTATTGAAGTTGTCTAATTGAAAATGTTAAAGATAACCAGTGTTAAGTTGTGGAGAATACAAAGTTAAATCTGATATCCACATTTTTTTCTTTTCTTTTTTTTTTTTTTTTTTTTTTGTAAAGTAGTACTGTACTGCTTTACAAATGTTAACTTTTTGNTTTTTTTTTTTTTTTTTTTTTTTTTTTTTAACTTGTAGAAGTAGTACTGTACTGCTTTACAAATGTTAACTTTTTGGAGATAAAGAACAAAGCACTAGTAGTTTTAAAATTAGATTCAAAACTGAAAATTGTTTGAAATCTAATAATTAGTGTTTGCAGAGCTTTCTCTCCTTTACTCTCAGCATGGGAAAAAGAAAGGTGCAATGTAGCTGCTTGTGATATATCGGGCTTAAAACAAAAAGAAGAAAGCTTTTTTTTTCCACTACTTCCAGCTTCAGGGAAATACCTGGTTACAAGAGTCCTCCAATTCAGGGAGCTAAATAATAGTTTGACTCTTATGTGAAGTGCTGAGAGTAATGGTGGCAGACACCAGAATTTATTCTGAACTTTTCTTCAGGGAGTCTGACCCAATCTGTTGTGCAATTTATTCTGATGGGCTCCAAACCTTGGCTGAAATGTAATTGAAACACAGCAAATGCAAGGGAAATTGCAGGAAGATCAGCCTGAAGGCCTGATGGTTGCATCTTGCACTGCCATGTAGAATGTTAGACTTTAAATTAACCCCTCACTCTTTTTGTTTTGCAAAGTTTCAGGGAACTGCAGAAGTCTTGGGTACCTGCTCAAGTTCTCCAGGGACCCACCTGGGGAGCAAGCAGAGCATTCTGCTCAGAAAAGAAACATGCCGTAAAAATTTGGGGCATACTTACTCTTCCTAGAAAATAGCCCTGATGGGTGTTTCAGACTGCATCTATCACTGGTTCAAAGATGACATCGTGGAAAAAATGCAGCCTATCATGAAATGGGGGGGAAAAGCCAGTCTCTACCTCCTGACTAACGCTCCGCCATTCTCTGAGTGTTCCACTGTGGAGGGAAGGCAGATGGCACATGTTTGGGGTTGAGAGTGGATGTGTTTCCATCCATGTAACCCAGAACTTCAATGCAAAATTAATAGAGAACTCAAGAGGCCTTTTTGGTCCTGCAAACTGCAGATAATTCTTCCTACATGACAGTGGAAAATGACTTTGTGAGGTGTGATGACTACGAGCAAACTCCTAGATGCTCCCTGTGGAATTGAGCCCATTGCGCCTAGAGATTGCAGCACGTACTGTGTTGTGTGTAATGCCATTTTCACTTATTTGCAGCAGAGCCATGGCAGATGCCCATCTCACAAATGCTCAGTCGAAACACCTGCCTGGATACCCATTCAGCACTCTACCGTAAGTTTGAGCCTTTTAATACAAAGATTTGAGGGACTGAATGGTAAGTCTCTGTGCTTGGAGTAGCCCTGGGCGGGTAAACATAATTAATGCATTTGAGAAAGAACAGTAATGAGTCCTACATCTAGACCAAGCTCCTTGGAAAGCCTAAACTGTTGACGTGTTGAGTTTTGGCTTAGCAGTGCTTCTCCAGGAATTTAGACTCTCTAGGAATTGAATGCATTCAACTTGGACCAGTGGGGATTGGTGAAAAGTGTGGTATAGTGTGATGATGGAGTGTGGAGTTACTGATGATTTCTATAACTGGGCCCCAGCTGAGTGTGGTGACTGGGAGCCATCCAGATCCAGGTGGTGATGCAAGGAAGGGGAGATGCATCTTTCCTTATCCACATTCTCATGGAAAAAAGACTGATGATTCCAAGTGCTTTACAGACTATTAACTGGGAATCTGCCCAGCATAGGTAACAACAGCTTTTGGGATGATGGATAATAAGCAAAACTTGGTCTGCTGAGTTTATAGGAAATTTTTGCTGTAAATGCTTTCCTCCTCTTGCAAATTAGATGACTTTAGTGAGATTTGCTTTTAACTATCAAAGACAGAGTGATATTTGAGAAGGAAAAAACCTAACTGCGGTCAAGTTGACACTGCTTTGATTTATATCTTGTCTCAGCGTGTATTGTAGATAGAGCCAAATCTTTGGGTGTTGGAAGTTAGAGGGGTGACTATGAGAGCTGTGATGATTTATTGCACCTAAGGAATTGGCAAGATTTCACTGACATTTCCGTTGGCTCTGGACCACAGCATGATGTTGGTCCACAGCTATCAACTTGTCACTTTTTATGAGTAGATGAATGAGAAACAAATTCAAGTTGTCACTCTCCCTCAGTCTCTCAGTAATCTTGCAAGTGATTGTAAGCTCTGAGGTTTTGATTGTCTTTATATTATGTTAAAATTATTTATGTTATTGTTTATCTCTATGATAAGACCTGCTTAAAAATATCAATTGAACAGTTGAACTACCCAGTTTTTTACCAGGTGAGGATCTAGGTCAGTAGCTTTTTAACTCACTCTAATTATTAGTTTCCATTTTCAAACACTTTGGACTGACTTTGTGGTGTGATTTATGTTGTTCTTTGTTTATATTGTGTTTATATTAGATAAACAATATAGTATATTTGTTTGTGTTTATATTTATATTTTGTGGGTTTGTTGTTTTGTGTTTATATATAAACACACTATATAATTATATAGTGTTTATATAGGGTTGCAGTATGAGCACAAGAATGGTAGTGTGAGGCTTTGAGAACTGGAACTGTGCTGGACATTTGTGGCAAATCAAGAGCAATTGCACTCAATGCAACATCATGACCTAACTTTTTACATAGTGGCTTAAAATGCTTTGGACATTTTTTAGGGTACTTGTTTTTTAAACCATAAAAAACAAGTGTTTGAGTATTCTTTGCTTGTATTTTGTTGGATAACTACACATGCATAGTTAATATAGTGTCACAAAAAATGGTAAACTGAGGATTGAGCTTTGCTGTCTTGCTAAGCATGAGAAATTGTCTAAGATCAGAATAACTTCAAGTGTTATTTTTTAAAAACTGTTAGAGTGGAAACTGGTTTTGTGACCAATACTAGTCAATACCTTAATCAACAATATAGAGAGTGGGATTGTGTACCTCCAGCAAATTTGCAGATAGCACCAAGCTGAATGGTGCAGTTGTTATGTTGGAGGGAGGAGATGCCATCCAGAGGGAGTGTCACAGGCTAGAGACGTGCGCCAATGTGAACCTCATCAAGTTTAACAAGGCCAAGTGCAAGGTGCTGCACCACTCTGAGCCAAGATAATTATCAATGTCAGCACATACTGTGAGATCTGGGAGAAATGAATTGAGAGCAGCCCTGAGGAGAAGGAATTGGGGGTACTGGTGGATAAAAATTTGACATGAACTGACAATGCACACTCCCAGCCCAGAATGCCAATTATATCCTGGGCTTCATCCAAAGCAGTGTGGCCAGCAGAGTGAGGGAGGGGATTCTGCCCCTCAGCTCTGCTGTGGTGAGACCCCACCTGGAGTGCTGCACCCAGCTCTGGGATCCCGGCATAAGAAGGATGTAGACCTATTAGAGCAGGTCTAGAGGGGGCCAAGGAAATGGTCAGAAGGCTGGAGCACCTCTTCAGCAAAGACAGTGTTTGCCCTGGAGGAGAGAGGCCTTACCATGATGTTTTCCCATTTAAAGAAGGCTTATAAGGCAGACAGGGTCAAATTTTTTAATAGGATCTTTAACGACAGGACAAGGGGTCATATTTTTAATCTGAAGGAGGGTAGGGTTAGATTGGACATAAAAAAGAATTCTTTACTATGAGGTTGGTGAGACACTGAAACAGGTTGCCCAGAGAAGCTATGGATGCTTCATGCCTTCAGGTGCTCAAGACAAGGCTGGATGAGACTTTGGGCAACCTGCTCTAGTGAAAGGCATTCCTACCCATGGGTGGGGCTAGATGGTCTTTTAAGGTCTTTTCTAACCCAAACAATTCTGAGTCTATGAAAAAGAAACCAACCCAACTTTCTACTAGAATATATTTCAACCATTCACTTGGTTACTACTTTTTTGATTCTAGAGTACAACATGTGGTCCTTGAGGTAATTGCCTACTTGAAGCTTGTTATTATCTATGTTTTCTTGATTATAGAAGCTGAATGGAATGAAGGCAAATAAGTTGTAATTCCCAAGTACCTTCTCCTTCTTTTTTATCAAGCAATATTCTACGCAGCCAAACAGATTTTTCTGTCTGTCTTATCTGTATCACATATTTATAGGCACATTTTACTATACTTGAGTAGACTTATTTTCCTGGGAGACTAATGCAGACAGTTGGAGCAAATTAAATCAGACAGAAATTAACTTCTAAGTGGTCGATATTTTTCCCTATCTTTTTTCAACAGTGTTTTTTAGCTGACTTGCCTTTATCACAGAAAAATATCTATGAAACATCAGCATTTTTATAGAAAGCTGATTAATGAAATGAATCAGCTTTCTATAAAAATGAAATGAATGAAATGAAATGAAAACTTCTAGTGACACATCAAAGCATATTGCCTCCTATGAAAGTCTTGTAGGGGAAAAAAACAGACATCTGGCCAGTTGTGACAACTCTAATAGATGACAACATCATGTGTTTGGATGTCTCTCAACAGTGGTGGAGGGAGCAGTGTCAAACAATGAAGAAAAAGCAAAGTGCTAGAAAAAGTATCCTGTTTCATCAATTGTGTGTCTGTGTCACTGAGGATGGCATGTGTCTGGGCTCTCCTTTTTCAGCATTTTTTGTAAAAAGCACTGTGTCCTCTCTTGGGAATGCCTTTTGCATCTAATGCAGGAACCAAGAGATCTGGCAGCATTGCTGTTATGGAACAGTCAGAATTTTGCCATCCCTAATTTAAAATCCTGTTTGAATTTGTTGATGATTCTTGCAGTTAAGATTCTCAATTCTGTTTGGCAACTCACCATCTGGAAAAGAGGACATAAGTGCATACCGACTTTCCATGCCTTCACAGTGTCCTTAATTAGATTCATTTTGTGTCTGAGAGTTTAATCAGGGGAATTACCTAAGGGTGGCTTTGTCTGTACTTGCATTTTTAGTCATGTCTTCCAAAGGACTGTAGTGTTTGATATAAAATACTCCAAAATAAGTTCACTGTACTGCTATCATAGTATACCTCCCTATCACTGTGGCTGCTCACTAGCTAGATCCATTATGTAAAGATAATGATGTGTCAGAAACTGCACCTGTGTTGCAAAAACATTTGGGGCTGTCTTTCCTTCTAGCCCACTTGACAGCTTTTCTTGAGCTTGGCATTCAGCACAAGAATTCACCTTACATCACCCTGCAGCATATATAGGATTCCTCTGCATTTCCCTGCTGCATTCTCAGCAGAGCTCTTTGGCCCTCTGTTCTAGTCCACAGAAAAAATCCCTTTTGGGCATCATTTGCCGTGGAGAAGCAGCAGGAAGGAGCAATAAAAGGGGTGTGAGCACAAAAGAGAAAGGATCTGGCACATGCCTTAAGCAGAGCCTCACTCAGCATCAGCTGCCCCCTCCCTGTGAAGAAGGGGACAGTGACTCTAAGGGAAGGTGAACCTAAAGAAGAAGGTCCCTGCAGGGTAAATGCAGCAGCTGTACCTGCTTTCATGGCTCATGGACTGCAGATCTACATAGGTGCCAGGCTGCTCTGCAGCTAAACGCTGCAGCTGAACTTTCTGCCTCTTGATTTGCCTATATCCATAGCATAAGGAGAGCAAGTATCACTCCTCTTTGAACCTGCATATGTTCTTATTTACATGGGGTAGATGTGTATGCAGAGGATATAGTTACTCCTGTATTTTCTTTTCCTTGTTTATTTGGAAACACTGGAGGCACAGGAATGCAGTAATGCCCTGCACAATTCTGAATTTAGTTCTGCCTGATCAGAGAGCTAACCCATAAACATTCCTGCTTTAAACAAATCAAGGCTTTTGTGTCGAGATTCACTTCACAGGAGCTGTTTAAAAGAAATTTGTACTTTTGGAAGATGACTTGGAAGATGCAAATTAGTTTTGGTGGCTGTGCTCTATGTAAAGAATGTTCTGACATGATATGGCGCCAAGAAGAAACGTATTGAAACATGCATATTCTGATTTGGTCTAGGGCTATGAGCATGGAGAATTGTTTCTGAAACCGGTCTTGCTTTTGTTAAACACAAAACAAATAGAAGTCTCTGTTTGGCAGGACACAAAACAAATAGAAGCCTCTGTTTAGCAGGAGTCAGCTGTCTCCTGGGACTAGTGTTGTGACTCCTAATGATGTCCCATCTTTTCCTGTGTAGATGTGCTCTATAAAATAAACAGATTGCTTTGCACTCCAAGAAATGCATTTTGCAGGGACTCTCTAAGCTTTAAGTCTTTTTTTATTAAACCCCTGTTGGCTAACACATTTTAGTCACAATCCAGGTGGTGGTG